AGTGCAAGACTGGAGATAAAATAAACAAGCATAAGGTAGGGTCATACGTAGTTAGAGATAAATAAACAAATAACTAAATAAATAGAATGAGGTTAGGAACACCTCACTCCACAACTATAAGCAAGATAAAATAGATTTAATGATAATATTCTCCTCCCCTACCTTAAGAGTTGCGGATGAGGTACCAAAATTTTTGTAGAGACAATTTTTTTTTTTCTTTCTTTCTCTTCTTCCCTCTCTCTTTCTTTCTCTTTCTCTCTCTCCTTCTTTCTCTCTCTTCTTCTTTCTCTCTCTTCCTTTCTTTCTTTTTCTCCCAACCGATCCTTCCCCCCTACCCTTTTTATAGCAAATTTCTTTTCTTTTTATTTATTTAATTACGTAATATTAAATGCAGTAATTATGATTTTGATAATGTTTATCTTTTAAGATAAGATAATGTTTATCTTTTACATTAATTGAGATGTTACATGCATCAGTGGAGATGTGGTGGTAAATGAGACATAATCATGAGATTGGGAAATTCATAGTAACAGTCTTGAGAATCAAAGTGTTCTAGTGATAATTGAAGATGAAGAAGGGAAACAAGATAATGAATGAAGAAGTCCTTATCCAACCACAACCATAAAGAATGCCTTAACAAAGAAATCTGCCAAAATCATTGATGAAATTTGAACTTTTTCCTTACAATGCACTAACATATGAAGAGACTTGGTGCATTTTGCTTTATTGGCAAAGGCTGAGCCTATTGATTATATGGAAGCACTAATTCAAAAATTATGGAGAGCCGCGATAATAGAAGAATTACTGGCCATTAAGAAAAATCACACCTGGTTTTTAACTGAACTACCCTTTAACAAAAAACAAATTGATGTTAAATGGGTATTTAAGTTAAAACTTAATCCTGATGAACTATTGTCAAGTGTAAGGAAAGGTTGGTGGTCATGGGCTTTTCGCAAAAACAAGGTCTAAATTATTCAAAGTTATTTGTTCAAATTGTTAGAATTTAAACAATAAAACTAGTTATGACATTAGCAAATGGAAAAGGATGGTCCTTGTTTCAACTGGGTGTGAAGTCAACTTTCTTGAATAACCCACTTGAAGAATATGTTTATGTTACACAAACACCTAGATTTGAGATCCAAGGTAGTGAAGACAAGGTGTATAAGTTGAGGAAAGCCTTGTATGGCTTAAAGCAAGCCCTTAGAGCCTAGTGTGTATGTAAAACTCCAAAATGGCATGAATTTGTTGTCAATGTGAATCTATGTTGATGATCTACTAATCACTAGGATCTCACTAAAATAGAGAATTTTAAAAATATATTGATGGCTGGACTTGAAATGACAGGTCTTGGAAGATTGAGATATTTCTTAGGAATGAAGTTTGTTGAAGATAGTAGAGGAATTGTTCTTCATCAAAAAAAGTATGTTGTTGAGATTTTGAGAAAACTTAGCATGGAAGATTGTAATGTTGCAGCAACTCCAGGAGAGATGAGTCCTGAGGCTAACGAGCTAAATGATGGAGAAAAGATGTGGACAACACTTTGTACAAACAAATTGTTGGTTCATTGAGCTACCTTTGTAATAGCATACCTGATATCTGCTTTGTAGTTGGTTTGATCAGCAAATTCATGAATCATCCAAGGAAGATGCATTTTCTTGTTATTAAAAGGGTGTTGAGATACATAAAAGAAATACTAAAATTTGGAGTTTTGTTCCGAAGTAAAAATCAGTTGTAGGTTGGTGTGTTAGGCTACTCAGATTCTGATTGGTATGAAGACAACAGTGACAGGAGAGACACTAGTGGGTACTTGTTCAAGTTCTTAGGGGCACTAATTTCTTGGTATTCTAAGAAGCAATCAGTTGTGACATTATCATCTTGTGAGGTTAAATATATTATTGGATCATATGCAATATGTCAAGGTGCATGGCTTGATTCAATTTTGACATAACTGACAGGAGTAAACACATAGAAACTACATTTCATTCCTAAGGGAGCAAGTAAACAATGAAAGACTCAAGATGTTATAGTGTCGTATTGAACTATAAATAATTTATGTTCTAATTAAATCTTTAAAAAGAGACAAGTTAAAAAGGTTAAGAGTTGAATTGAACATGATTAATATGTGTACTTGAACTAAGAAAAAGTGTTGTAATTAATTCAAGTAACATTAAATTTATTATGTTTTGTTATATTTAATTGACAGTATAAATAGAGTCATTTATTATAATCTTTGTATTTTTTTATATTGAAAGAAATATAAAAATATATTATTTTTATAAGTTTCATTCTTTTCTCCTTTATTTAATCGAGATATATTTAGTGGATATTTAATCTTTCAGTTATTTATTTATATAAAAATAAAAAATATAAGTTAAATATATAAATCTCATTTGTATAGGAGAAAAAAATAAAGAGAAAAAAAACATTATTTAATATTACAATTTCAAAGATCAAATTGCTTTTTGTACAATACGTTCATAAATTTTGTGTAGTGTGGGATAGGAGATTGAAGGCATAGTAAAATATAAAGTTAATAATTGGAGGAAGTTATGATTTTCTTAAAATATGAAAAATAAAATCGTAAGAAAAGCAAAAAAAGAAATAAACATTAGAATAAAAAGTTCATGTATGAATTGAGAATAAGAAAGAGTTATTAAATTCCATGCATTTAATAGCCGTTGAGAAATAGCGGTTGGAAACGAAAGTGCAAAATTAGGTGAAGTCACTTTCCTTGCGTCACTGCGGGATTGGATTCTTCCTTATCCCCTCTTTGACACAACCCACGTTCTTAAGCATTCATCGTTTACTTTTTTTTTTTTTTTTTTTTTTTTTTTTTTTAAGATCTATGAGTCCATGATTATTCTTCAGCATTCACTCTAGGCTGTGATGTAGGATTTTAAAATGCGTCAAATTTAATGTTTTCAAAATCTTGAACGGTTCAACCATGTCTAATTGTTAAACAAAATATTTTTAAATAATTCAACTTCTATTAAATTAGGATAAAATTGAAAAAACGAGAAAAATCAATTAAATTATTTGATCGAATTAATTTTAATAAAAAAAATAAAATTAAAATTTTTTAATATAATTTTTTTAAAAGATATAATATTTTTTAAATTATAACTATTATATTATATTTATAATCTTTATGATCATTTAAGATATCATAATAATAATTTTTATTATTTTTTTAATATTTTATTATAAATTTATTATATATTTATTATATTGTAATACTATTTTATTAAATTCAGTGATTCTTATTCAACCTTTAAATTTTAAATTCATATCTTGACTGATTTATTCATTGGTTTAGTTTTAAAATATTGGTTAAATTTAAATAATTTAATCAATATAATATGTTTAAGATTCATAATTTAAATATTTATTTTATAAAATTTACCCATGTTAGACCTATGTGTAAATGTCTAAACTGATTATTTTTTAACCAAGACTTTCTATATCACGTAATAAAACAACTCACTTAAATGTTATAATTATAGTTTAAGTCTCTAAAATGCTTCTAGCTAGAGAAAAAAAAACATTTAGTAACAAATGTATTACATCCTTAGTCTAACATTAATCATGAGTGAATGATTATGCATGTTGTTTGTCGCTTAAAATAATCCCAACTGAAAGTGGTTTAGTAAAATTTGGTAATTTAGATATGGACCTCAATGTGTGAAGAATAAAGGGTAATTATTTTTGTAATGGATTAAAAAAGTGATTGATATGGTGTGAAAAAAAAATACTAAAATAAGATAAAATAATAACTTAAATTATAAAAAAATTATATTGTATATATATATATATATATATATATATATATATTATAAGTTATATATTAAATTATCATATTTAAAATTATAAAAACACAACCTGTTTTGATTGACCTGATTCAAAGGTTATGATTCTTGGATGAAATGAGTCATTTCTTAATGGGTCTATTGGGTATCAAGAAAAGAAAATATAAGAAAAAGATAACGAAAAAAGAAATAAAATAAAATGAAAAAAATAATTAAGAAAAAAGTGACATGAAAAATGTTTATTTTTAAAATAATAAGTAATTAAATTAAAAATAAATATTTATTTAATTATAAAATTATTTATAAAATTACTAATTAATTTTTTATTAATAAAATAAATCTTAAATTAATATCTCATTTTAAATAATATATATTTTGATATATAATTATAATTTTCTTTACTACAATTTTTTAAAAATTATTTAAAATTAAATTAATAAAATAATATCATATTACAAATAAATAAATAAATATATTAAATTATTCTTAATTTTTATAATTATTTTCATATTTATAATATTTTATTAAAATAATAATTAAAAGAATATATATATCTACGTTGATAAATACGTTTCAAACATGAAATTCAAACTTGAAATAAATTTAAACATAAAAAAAAAAAAAAAAAAAAAAAAAAAAAAAACTCAAAACATAAGCAATGTTATGTTCCCTTGTCTAAACTTAATCACATTTTTGTTCATGAAAAAGTCTATCACGTGAATCTTATCCACCTTTTTATATGGCCAATATAGTAGTCATTTAGATTTGATGAGGGTGATATAGCATGCATGAAGATCAGTGGAAGATGATCGATGGTAGAAATTGATAGAATATATCTATTTACGTGTATACATGCGTAACTGGGATTTTCATCAGCTTTTGAGGGAAGGTACATAGTTACAAGGAGGGGCCTTTCACAAGGCACAAGAGTAACGTGAAAATAGACCTACTTGAGGAATAAATAGGACATTCACAAGCTTACGAGCCACAACTTGTTTGCTGCTTTAATGAATGTATCTGTCACTTAACACTTTCACTTCTTCCTCACCCAAAGTTTTTCCATGACATGGAAATGTAGTTAAGATTCATTACCCTGTGACACTCTACACATAATCCATAATCATTGCTATAAATTACAATGAAAATCACAAGAAACCAGCCTCACAAAAATAGTGGTGTACTTTGTTTGACATAATGCTTCATTTGCACAAGAAACTAAAGTAACTGCATAGAGTATCTTAACTATATATGCATCATATACAGTAGCAACATCCTTTTTGTCTTTAATTCTGTTTACTTTAATGGCGTAATTTATTAACAGTTAAACTCTTCTGCAGCTTCTGTTTTGTCATTCTTCTCTTCGTGGCACTGGCTTCAGTATATGCTAGAAAAGGTGCTGAAGTTAGCTTCCAACAGAACTACAAGGTTGTATGGGGAAACCATCATGTCTTCTTTCTGCAACATGGTAGAGAAGTTCAACTCTCGATTGATAAGACTTCAGGTTTGTATGATCGTATGTATGCAAAAGACCTGCATGTTTGATCAAAGAGAAGAGTCTCTTTATTTGCTATTTTGCAAGTACATAGTAATTACTGTTTCCATTTTAACGGTGATTTTGTACATAAAGTATTCGAAATACTATGCAAAAGAGTGGTATAGTTTTCTGAAATTTGTAACTACTACGTAGGGGCCGGCTTCAGATCAAAATTGGACTATGCATCTGGATTCTTTCAAATGAGAATAAAGATACCAAACAAGGACTCTAGAGGAGTTGTGACAGCCTTTTATGTGCGAATCAGTTTTACCTTTTACTTTTTGAGTTGTTTAAATATCCCTTGAAGTATTTAGTTAAGGTATCTTTTTGTGGTAATTAATGTAGCTGACTTCAAGGTTGTATGAACATATGGGAGAAAAACATGACGAGATCGACTTTGAATTCCTGGGAAACAATGGAGAGCCTCATACGTTGCAAACCAATATATTTGCAAATGATGAAGGAGGGAGAGAGCAAAGGCATAGCCTCTGGTTTGATCCAACAATAGATTTTCATACATATGGAGTCCTTTGGAACCAACATCAAATAGTGTAAGCTAAACTCCTATTTGCTTTTGATAAACATGGTCACTGGCTCAATAATAGAAAGAATGAATGTTTTCCTTGACATGATTTTTGTTGGGGTGCAATATTTTCAGGTTTTACGTGGATGAAATACCCATTAGAGTATTTAAGAACAACTCCAAGGTAGGAGTGAGTTATCCATGGCAAGAAATGCACGTTACCGGTAGCATATGGAATGGTGAACCATGGGCATCTAATGGGAAGAGAATTGACTGGAACCAAGCACCCTTCACTGCTCACTTTCAAGGTTTCAACATTCATGGCTGCCAAAACCAAAACCCTAGCAAATATCTCTGCTATTCTCCTCGTTTATGGTGGAATGATCACAAACATTCGGAACTAAACCCTCAACAACGAAAGGCATACCAATATGTCACAGAGAAACATTTGGTCTATGACTACTGTTCTGACAGAGGACAATTGCATAAAGAATGTCAAATTAATTAGCTCATTAATTCCTAATACTACTAGTAAATAGAAAATATATGTTTGGAAAAGTTTATTTATATATATAATAAAAAAATTAAACAAGTTTTTTTTTAAGATAAAATTAATTTTTGCACAAGTTAAAAATAAGAATTTAGAGATTATATAAGAGTCTTTAAAAATTAGTTTGTATATAAATAATGTATGTATAAACGTCCCAGGACTTTCAAATAAAAATATGTGTAATTAAGATAGTTTAATATTTGGATTTTAGTTTAGATTTATGATAAATAACCTATATTTTGTGCTACAATGTTATTTTTAACTTACTAATTTCTTTTAAAATATTGAAATTCAGGTTAAATACAAAGATATGAAGAGAAATTTGAAATAAGACATTTTGGTTGATAAATAGACAATGATGGTTAAAAATGCTCATTTAATGCAACTATAGTTATTTTTATATATAGACGAATAGTATAAGACTTGAACAAAACAAGGACCACAAATGAATGGATTGGCATGGTTACATTTACAATTTGGGGAAGTATCTATATAAAAATATCCGTGTTATCAATTTCCATTATATGCAAAAACTGATAAACCCTGACAGGACAAAAAGAAAACAAGGAGTAAAGTATTACAACCTACAATGACTGGTTAACCAATCAAAACTTGTGTACCCTATCCCAAATCTTCTTCCTTCAAGGATTTCAAAATTTCCCTGTACACTGTCTTCTTCGCTGTGTCCTTAAGAGCATGACCGATATACTCATACTGGTGAATGATCCCATCAGCTTCAACCTCCATGCTATAATTAGTCACACCATCTTTGCGGGACACGACCTCTTGTATGATATTATAACTTTTTTTCTGGCATAGTTCATTCAATTCTCTCACTGGGTGGAGCTTCAATGTTTCTGGTGTGACGAGGGGTTCCAAAAGTGGACTTATACTTTGCCACACAACCTCCTTATTGTATCCTGAATCAACAAGAATCGCTCCAGCCAGAGACTCTATAATGTCTCCTAGTACCTATCACACGATGAGAAACTATAACATGAGTTTTGTAATGGTTAACACATTGTAGCTTGTTAGCTTTAACTACTTGATAACAACAACATGGACCTATGAACTAAATTTTAACAACTAACCTTAGGTGGTGATGTCTCTGACTCGTATCCAAAAGTTGACGATGAAGACAACTTACCAAAATTGTCAAGTGTGATAGCAATATGCTTATGCAGTTCTTGTGAGGCATGGAGTACATGTTTGTGCAACCCATGCTTAATGGCAGACCATGCATAACAATCGTTATTCACAGAAGCTGACCTCATGTCAGTTAACTGTCCAGGTGACATGCCAGGATATTTGTTGTACAAGTGCCATGTGATAAGATAATCCAGCACTGAATCTCCAAGAAATTCTAGTCTCTGCAGGGCAAGGAGTATATCATTTACAAATTGAGATAAAAGAATCAAAAGTAACAAGAATATGAATTAAAAATGATTGATCATGAAGAATATGTTCAAGTACTATTTACTAGACCCCACCAAGACTTCAAAAAAAAAAAAGCTAGTCAATATGGAGTTGGAGAAGTTTATTCATAGATAATAATTTGTGCTAATGGCACTGTCTTGTTACCTACCATATGATGAATAGTAAAACATAAGTAAATACCTGATAACATCTAGGAACTTCAGGCAACATGTAAGAACCATGGGTCAGAGCTTCCACTAAGAGAGAACGGTCATGGAAAGTGTACCCCAATTGTGATTCTAAAAGGCTGACATTTACCAGTTTCTCTGGTTGAATGTCAAACTGCCTCTCATAGGGTATTTTATCAAAATTCACTTTAATACCAACCCAATCCATAAACAACAATGCAGCCTTTTCACCACCAGTGCTGAGGAAGGCACCAATTAGTGCCTCAACAACATCGGCAACAGCCTTTCGTTTTAATTGTCTTTTTCCACAAATATAAAGTTTTTTCCCCTTGCTAATCAACTCTTCTATTTTAAAACTTCCAGAATTATCACCAGGAATGATCCAGGAATGAAGATTAAATGGCTTATCTCGTATGAAACCCTGCAAATAAAAATTCAGCATTCTGATATTTCAAGATGATAATGCAACAGTCCTCATGATAATCATGTAGGATTCTAAAACCATGACAATTCATCTGAGAATGGATCAAAAATAGAGAAGCAATACAGTCAACTCATGGCACAAGCATTACAAGTTAGAGAGCACATTACTTGTGGTAAATATTTATAAACTTTTCAATTCAATCTTTGATATGAACCCAATAAAAAATTCTAGAAATCAAGTTTTATTCAACTATGAGGAGCTCATAGCTCTTAGAAGGAAAAAGACTAGCACGAACACCGAGCCTAGGTCTCTGTACACTTCACTACTTTCTTTTTCAGTAGACAACCCCGGTCTTGGGCCCAATTGGATTATGGTAAAAGACCTGACCAGCTTCGATTTCCTCAAAGAGCAAATAAAAACAAAATCTTGTAAACATGGTAATTGCCCAAACAATTGCAATTTCACAACCAGTCCTCAAAATCATAATCTCTAATAAAACTTTTCTGAAAAAAAGAAAACCATAAACTGATAAAAACATTGAAGCACTCACTACTCTTTGCCATTAAATAAAAAATCAAATTCTACTCTGATCACATATCAAGAACATCTAAAATGAAGAAATTCAAGTGAGTTTCTTCTTTAATATATTTTTTATAATATTTCACACTTCTGTGTAATGTCACAACACATTTTCTACTTCATACAGCTCAATCAATTTTTTCTCCCCAATCAAGAAACTAACTAAAATTTCACTTTCAACACATCCCCTCCAACGAATACTTTTGACCCATGACAATAATAAGAAAAATGGTAGGCTTTGGCTCTGATACCATGTTAAGGTTCCAACATAAAACTAATTGACAATATGTAGAGTAGCCTAACATGTATTTAAACCATACCAAATGACATGAGATAGGCGATGTGGAACTTTCAACAAGATGAAATTTATTAATAACTTTTAAAATACATGTAAATTTGTGCGGTTAAATTAATTCCATTCTAATTTGAACATGCAAGTCAAAAATATAAATTGATTGTAATATAATAAATAGAATAAAACTGTGAGATTGGTGCACCAAAAAAATAATGAGATGCACCAACAAAAACCATGAGCCAACATTACCAGATTGATGAAATAGGCAGAGGACCCACATGTGCAAAGAAACCCAAACTTAGAAGGGTCCCATTGCATTGCTCTCCAATGACAAATATTATAGTATGAACTTTTAATTATTGTGTGAATGGGAAGAGAAAATCTCATTGCAGTTACTCTATGAAATCAGCCATACATCTCAAGAAATAGTACTTCTAAATCAGAAAACAGATAAAAAACATACACTAAAATCTTGATGTAAACAGAAAAAATGCTTAAAGGCGCAGAGGGAGAGAGTACCTGAAGGCCGGAACTGCACCCTAGTTTACAGAGTGCAGCATTAGAAATTATCTTTTCCCTCTTCACACTGAGGAGACCTTCATGGTGACTTTGATAGGTTTTAAAAAGCTGTTGACTGGCAGCATATTTTAAAAAAGAATCTCCGAGAGTCTCTAGAGATTCATAATGAAAGGGTTCGTTGCATCTTTTACTGGTTATTGCTTCTAACACCTACAATGCCAATTGCAGATACCATTGGCATAAATATCTTTAAAATAGAACTGGATGTAATAAAAAGAATAATAAGATGAACCCACAGTTTCAAAGAACACTAATACAAATTAACCAAAAGATGTTAACATAGAATATTTCACACTGACAAGTTTCTTCGCACTCTCTTCATTGAGTATTGACAAAGACAACAGAGGGTAATCACTGCTTTCTACATTAACTTTTTTTCTAGAACTGGTTAAATATATATATATATATATATATATATACATATATATATATATATATATAGAGAGAGAGAGAGAGAGAGATAGATAGATAGATATTAAGTATACCAGAGAACTTGCAGTAAAATAATATGTTTTCACTACATTGTCTTCTGTCTATGAGGACAATTAACTGATATATGAAACTGACTATTCTGGAAAAAAACGTATGGAAATATAATAATATAGATTGTAACAATAAGCAGTTGTACACACCTTGATTGTTTGAGTTTCATTCTGTGCACAGTGATCCAAATGCATTTTTTTTAAGTTGAAAGCGCCAAGTAATGATTCAATCCGATGCATGATTGATGGAATAAATGAGAAGGAATAAATGATACTATCTTTTACTGGATACATGACTATAGAGCACAGTTCAGGAGGTAATTCAACAAAGGCCTTGCTTGCTCCTGAAACGAAAAACATCAAGTAAGGATTGAGATTGAATCACATATTGGTAGTGCTTGAATACTAGCCCTAAACATTTGTGCAACTATAATTGCACATGAATAAATATTTAGGCCTGACGACATTGATAACTAAATTCGTTAGTTGAAGCAGATACTGCCGATGCGAATTCTATTCATATTAAGATTATAACATTGGGTTTCAGAAAAGAACAGGCCAATACAGAGATAACAACTAAGATTAAAGTTTTTTGCAACACCCAAACAAGCAGCACTATTTTCATAGTTTTAATCCAATAAACTGTTCAGAAGAAATTAGCACACAAACAAGACTGATTTCCTTCAACTAATATCAGAGGGCATATAATGGCACTATACATTCAGAAAAGTCTACTACAGTACAATTGATATTGGTTACAAAATTAACCCTAATTTTAATATTTGTGGATGGCATAATCAACGCCCTTTGTAGACACAGATGTAATAAAACTGTTATATTTATTAAAACAAAAAATACATCTCCCATGCATTATGGATATCAAGGATTGAATAACATTGGTTGAATCTCACTAAGGAGAGATCAAGGAACGGAATAAAATAAACAAATTCAAAAATCAAGGTCAAACCTCTTTCTTTCCTTTGTTTGAGTCCATCACAATAATTTTTAGCTTGAAAATTGTGTCTTGCTTTAAGTAGCTGTTGATGTTCAAATTGCAATGATATACCATGACTGAAAATTGGAAACAAACAAAGAATGATGCACTCTAGTAGATAAAGTAAGATGAGAATAAAAAAAAAATTACTTACTGTTCTTTATAATAATTTTTGTATGAAGTAACTCCGCCATCCTTTAGTTCCATAAGCGAGTTTCCATCTAATTCCATTACACCAGTGGTGATATAGAAATAATTCTTACCACTAGCATGGTTTGTGCAAACCAATGCATCCCGTAGGTTACAAGTGCACACTAGACCACTTTTTGTCCTTATGTGAGGTTGATGATAATTGCACGTCAAATTACATGCATTTACAGAATTGATAGCTAACCAATCAATATCTGATTTTTCCCCTTTCCCAATAGCTGGAAGCAAAAGATAGTCAATATTAACATCATCTTCCAAATAGAATTTATCTAAACCAATCGCCAACTTGTTCATATCATGATCTATGAGAATTCTAAGCAAAGTGAGCTGGAAATTTGTACACAATAGAACCTGGAAAACAAAACAAACAAATAATAAATACACTAACTTTTTCTTAACACTTGCAAATTGCTGAAAACTCCCCATCGCCTACCTCATGTCATTTGGTATGGTTTAAATACATGTTAGACTACTCCACATATTGTCAATTGGTTTTATGTTGGAACCTTAACATGGTATCAAAGTAAAAACCTAATATATTTCCGGTTATTGTCATGGGCCAAAAATTGTCCTTTAGTTGGGTCAAAAGTACTTTTTGCCTGGTCCGGCAGGCTTCATTGGAGAGGGCGTGTTGAAAGTCTCACAGCGCCTACCTCATGTTATTTGGTATGGTTTAAATACATGTTAGGCTACTCCACAATATGTTGGATATAATTGAAGGATAACTCAACAACATACCTGATCTGGTGAAAGATTAATCTTTCCTTTGTATCTTAACTTTACAGACACACTACCTCTGTCAAAACCCATATCAAATTGAGAGCATCCAATTTCTGGATCAAGCTCAATTCTCATAGCAAGAAAAATATCTTGTACAAAGATATCATAGCTAAAATTTTGACTGAGTTCCATCAAATAATAATGGTATATTGTGTGACTATTATATGATACACAATTTACCAATCCAAATGGGACATAAGTTGGTTGATCTTCATCATAAGGTTCATTCCCTGAAAAAATTTGATTGATGTGGAAGTCATTCAAAGATTTATGTGGAAGTCGTTCAAAGAATTATATGGACAAATAAAGTTTATGTTCAAGAAACAATATTTAGACACAAAGGCAGTAAAGTAAATAGAACCAGACATTAATAAAAGGCATGAAACTTACCAAATTCCTCCACCTCTGCTGCTTCGATAACAATATCTGGAACAAGATTATCTGTTAGAGCTCCTATCTTATGAAGTTGTTTGCATGCTTCAAGGCATGCGATATTCTTTAAGAGTTTTCTGTCACCAACTACATGAATAGGTTGTAAAGGACAGCTCTTGGGAAGATACAATGTACCAGTCTCTTTGTCCCACCTTGGAGTTGGTTTAAAGTATCTGAGAGAAAAATCTATAAATCTATATGGGATAAATGATAAAGAACGAGAAAAAAATTATGCAAAAGAAAGTATATCTTAGGTTCATCAAAATAGAGGAAGAAATGTCACATAATAGGGGAAGCAATGAACAAACTAACCCATCTGCAGGGAGGCGAGAGCAATACAAATATATCAAACTGATGCTAGAACTAAGATTTGCAATGGCTCCAGTGCTTGAAACATGATAAGCTTCCTTATCAAAGTCATCACTTTCAAGAGGATCACGTGTAAGAGTAGAATGCCGTAATGACTCCTTCCTCATAATATCCGCACTTGCAAGGTATTTCTCAAGTCGAGAACATGTAACTGAATCCCCACTGCAATTTTACAATAAAATAAAGAATGGTTAGGGAAAAATTACTTTAAAGTTAACTAGTAAAGCATAATTTCTCACTACATTCCTGTCTCTCGCAGCTTAATAATTTGTACCTATCTAAGCGCCACAGCAATAAACATACTTTGGGATTAATGTAAAAAACAAATACCTCTTGACCATTAATACGTAATCTGAATTTTTCATTCTAGCACGTCCTCGGGACTGTATGAAACTGCACACTGTGGGAGATGGATCAAATCTAATAACTAAATTGCAACTTTGAACATCTAAACCCTCTTCAAGAATTGATGTGGCGACAATGATGTTGACCTGCATATTACATTTTTTTATTGATAAGACATTTCATCTGGTTCTTACAATACAGTGAATAGTTTAAAAAAGCAACATACCAATCCCATTCGAAATTCTTCGACAATTTCATTTTGTTGTCTCCTTGACTGATTTTTCAATCCAAAATTGTGTCCTACAATAAACTTAGTCTTCCAGCTATTGTACTTTGGAAGCAAGGCACTGAATAAATCCTGGAGTACAATGGCTGTAACGATTCTTTCAACAAATATTATGCATCTCATGTCAGTCAAACCCCTGCAATTGTAGCATAAGTAGTAGATCCATCAAATAGATGTAATATAATCATCATTATGACATAAAAATGATCACTACTAACAATCAAACAATAGCCTTATCCCACTAGGACAACATACAATCAGTCAATCAAAAGAGTCTGTTGATCAACTAATTAGAATAGATTTTTAACACTCACCTCGATCTGCAGCTAACGATGACAGGCTTAGATTCTAGAAAATAGAGCTAATGCATATTTAGGTTAAGAATGAAGTGATCACAAACTCTACTGATATCACAACATTTTAAAACTTATTATTTCAACAATCAGTAGTAAGTGATAAAATTTCTTGAATCAATACCTTTTATATATATTTTCACAGTTGTATGTCTACTTCCTAATTGAATTTAATAGAAGGATTCGAATAAGTTTAGCAAGCTAAGCTCAAAATCATATTATTCAAATCTAATTTCATTTTATTCTACTTTTTCTAAAATATTTTAGTTAAGATAAAGATCAAATCATCAAATCTGATTTGATTCTAAATTTATATTTTCCTTAAATTTATTCTATAATCAGGGTTGTTAAATTTTTTTCCAACCTTTGACAGTTGGCATTAAATGATAAATAAGTATCGGTAAACATTTATCAGTAATAGCCAAATCATTAGTAGGGAGAATAAATGATGAAATAACTCTTAGTAAATTATTAGAATACATTATATTTTCTTAGGTGATACACAAACCACATGTACCTATTGAATTCATTTTTAGAACACATTACATTTTCTTAGGTATTTTCTCATATCATAAAAAACTTAAACGGTCTAAGAAGGAGGAGAATCAAGAGGCCAAAAGATCCATAATAATAACACATTACATGATTTCAGAACCACGATGGAAATAATTAAAAAGAAATCCATGATTATAACCTGTACTCGAGTAGAGAGTCCATAAGACAGCAAACTTTGGAGGTCAACAGCCCCATCTCGCAATCAAATTTAATATTGTCACCAACAGACCACTTAGCATCTGAGTAAGAAAACATTGTGTAAAAATTAATTAATGCTAGAAATACAAGGAAAATATTTATATTTAAGATTTCACCATTTCTATCAATGGCTGTAGACTAATTACCACATTGCAAGTAACTTTTCAGTGTGTTTACACACGCCAAAATAAAGTTTTTAACAACTCTATCCCCAGAGTGTCCCCAAGAAAATGAGTCAAACTCATTAGAAGATAAAAATTCTGCAGCCTGTCACATAAACAAGAAAGAACAACAATTATCATTATATGAAACCTTAAAGTGACATGGGAGACAGAGTTCTGCAGGAGAAAGGCGAGAACCTTCAAAGCCAACCAAACACCAAGCTCATCCAGACAAAATATCAAAGCACAAAACATCTTTGCTATTCTTTTTTGTGCAGAATCAGCAGTTGATTTGGTGAAATCTGAACTTCTTAGAGTGAGTTCATGCTGAGAACAGAATATCCGTTGTTAATACAGGAAGAACTTATAAAGTAGCACTAAACATAAGTGAAACTGTGGCTACAGGAAGATGATAGGATTGGTAATTGAGAACTGATTCAAATATAATGTGTCACTCAATAAAACGAAAGACTTCAGGTAAAGGGCATACTCATATTTCCACTTTCAACAAATGTGGGAATTTTCTTTTTTCTTAAATGTTTCAGAGTATATATCAAAAACTGATAGCGCTTTAAATGTACGCACCTGCTCTTTTAACACCTTGAGCTTAGACGCTAATTCTTCAAATAATACAAATTGAATTCCATTGTCGTTGTAAAACTTCAATTTTGGTGTTGATGTTGGTATGAACTCAGAGACGACAGCTTCACTTACACATGTATATACCTTCATTTCAAATTATTTGTCAAACAAATAATACATAACAAGACCAAAAGGGTTTTGCATCAACAATTAATCACATTAGAATAAAATACTTTAACCACATGTCTCCTTTCTTAAAACAAATAAAGGAGTAACTTTCTGGCGTACGTAAAGTTTCCACTACCTCTAGGCATGTTAAAACAACTGTATCCTAAAAACTATGAAATTTGCAGCTAAAAATAACAATAAAGTATGAAATAACATAACACATAAGTTAACAAAAATTTAATGCTTCTGATACATCTTCCTTGCCATAAAAAATGCCACATGGGGGCCTTATGAATAGTCTCTATATATCTTCAATGTTTATCCAACTATACCAAGAAGATATAGGACAAAACCCATAAAACACAATATCATGAGCCGAAAGAAGAAAGCAAGAAAATCCATACAGACAAGGAGAAAAAGAAACTACCTTAGAATGCATTAGAGTCATTAGTTTCTGAATATTCTCTGACAAGGATGATTCAGATTTTCCAACTGGATTAAAATACAAGAAAAAGGGAATTAACAGTTGAGAAAAATCTAGAAGTGCAAGGAGCCATAACCTTTTGTAGGCTTGAGTACCTTTCGACTTAATTGGAGATGCAGTCATACCGAAAATTCGAGGGAGGTCAGATATACCAGATTGTAATTGGTGATGATAAAACTCCTGCATGAGATAAAATCTAACAAAATAATAACAAACAAAGCACAAACTAAAACCACATGATCCATCTGCATACCAGATTGTAATTGACTAATTGTCTTCGAACAAAATTAATTACAAATCTTACAGAACCAAAAAAAAAAATGAAAAAGCACTATACGTTTGAAAAATAGTCACCAATTCTAATTATAGTCTCATGTTGTAGAGTATGATGATCAATGGAATTTGTGTTCACAATCAGATTCTTTCACATATTATTTTTGTAAAATGAAGTAGTTCACGGTCCAGCTCAATTACTCACAGCATAGATGTACTGCAAGTTATATGACAACGTATAGCAACCAGTGCCATGTTTGGGAAAATAGTTTAATTAAGAGATTATTTAATAAGAACCTATCACATAAGATTATTATGATAAAATTCAGTGAAGATTATTCAAATATGAAAAAATAAATAATATATATGTATATATAAGTCATAAGCCATTTTCATAGGCTTAATCAAATACCTGCATTAAGTGCTTGATTTATTGTCATGAGAAGCCCATGTAAAAACTCTTCAGAAAAACCCACAAGTCTATGAATGGATCTAAATGTCTTTTCATTAGATAGTTTCTAGGATGAGTACACACTGCATATATAACTATAAGAAACTTATTGTGAGAGTTGTTTATAGATCTAATAGCTGACCCACATATAGATGGACAGCCTTTTGTTACTATTGGTATGCATGGATAGAAGAAGGAAAATATTTTAATGCCACCAATCAACCAAAGCTCACATGTCACACCCTATCCAATCTGTACACTAGCCTGGTGGTGGAGGGTTTAATTTCCCCTTTGCCCTTGTCCACAGATTTTTGGCACTCGTTATATTACCCAATAAAAGGTGAATCTTTAAGGCCAATGGCATAGAATGGTTGAATGTATATTACAACATATTCATGAAGAAGTCACTACTCAAATAAAATATTATAATAAAAATTAATCAGAATTCAATGACACAACCCAGTTGAGACAAAAGCATGGAGAAGACATAATACTTACAGTCATGATGCAGGCATAGGGGTGTTTACCCCTAGCATGATGGCACTCATCCATTATTAAAACCTTAATCATATTCAGTTTGACGAAGCTATGCCTCAAGCAATTCAGCAATATTACAGGAGTCATGACAAGCACCTACACATTTAAAAGCATTACTGAGTGTATATACCAGATATCCATGCAGCAAATGGAAGCATCACATTAAAAGTAACAAATGACAAATGTGTATCATATAATATTCAAGCCAATTGAACAATAGAGAAAAGAAAATAGTTGTCTTCCTATCCATTTAATTCAAAAATAAAGATAGAAGGCAAAAACAACGTTTAGATATACTATAAGATTTAGAAATGAAATCTACAGCTATAAACTAGTGAAAATTAAAAAAGAAGATACCTTAGATTTAGAAAAGATTGATATTGATCAATCCTATTTAGGAAAGAAAAGTTGCCTTTGATGAGTCACTTGTATGTCTTGTTCAAGACAGACCAACTTTTCTTCTACTTATGAACATCATTAATTTTGACTAACTTGAATCATTTTCAATAATTTATATTATGTAGTACACATGATATAGGTTATATTTAAAAATTAAAATAACAGCTATCCCACTATCCACAATAGCATTTTTGGGCCAGGCCACTCGAAGTTGATATCTGGGTTTAAACATTTTTTAGTCAGCTAATCAGAAACAAACAAAGTTATCAAATAAAATATTCAAATTGTGAATCATGAATCACGTGATTTGCATTGAAAATTTACTTCAAAAATATAATATAGATGATATAAAGTATCAATGTAAAATTTTAAACTAGAAAAAGTTTAAACATGTTAACCAAAGGTCTAATGAAAAAGTTATTAATGATGAGCTTGTTGAATCTTTAATTTAGAAAACTGGAAACAAGACATGCACTGAATGAGTGATTGACAACTGGTGAAACAACAAAATAGGATAAGTTCAAAAGTATTCCTTCAAATCCTTTTCTTTTAACAATTTCAGCTTATATGAACAAACAATTTTTACAATGGAATTGGTGAAAGAAAAGTATAAAACAAATAAACAGCAAATAGTTGAAATGTGTGACTAATGATACAATATAACACAAATATCCATGTATAGTAAGTTTCAAATTCATTTATGATACATCTTAACATAGATAGGTAGGAAGTTAATTTGTATCAAATCATAAAATTCCCCAGTCATGATATTCTAATCTAATAACTATGGAAATATTCAGCCACCTTTTTTAAATGGGGGAAAACAGGAATATATCATACATTACACAAACAGATGGGTTAAGTTTAAGCAAAGCAGATCCATGAAAATAACAAGGAATCTTTCAGTTCTGATAGAATGCAAAAATCCTCACCTCGTGTTTCTCCATTTCTTGTTTCCAGGTAGCTGCATCCCAGTAGTCAACTCCCATGTCTCCCCAATACAGTCCCACTTTCAAATCGGTATGCATTTTCACAACTTCAGCTTGCTAAATTACGGAGAGAACATCAAAAAGTAAAAAAAAAAAAAAAAAAAAAAAAAAAAAAAAAAGATGACGTAAAAATCATTGTGAATGTACAGATCCATTACACAGCTACTCAACCAGTACATGGCAAACCAATAATGCATCTCAACTTTGCAAATGCATCATAAGATAGAGAGTGACATACTTGAGAGACCAACACAACTTGGGGAACCAAGAACACTGAAACGAAAGGAGAAGGCTTTCGCAGGTGATGAGCATAGCTGCGAAGAAGCATGATGGCTATCAAAGTCTTGCCCAAACCAGTCTCCAAGTACACTATGGTATTCTCACGGATAGCTTTTTCCAATGCTTCAAGCTGATAGCTACAGATAATAATAATAATAATAATAATAATAATAATAATAATAATAATAATAATAATAATAATAATAATAATAATAATAATAATAATAATAAATAAATAAATAAATAAATAAATAAATAAAATCAACCAGCATCAGTGAAAAGGACATGATAATCAAAATAATTTATTCAACAATGCATGAACTCATCAGCACTAGAAGTTTTAACAATAACGTGCACATTAAGCTCACCTTCTGGCAAATGGAAGAACATCACGTGTAATCTGCTCCTGCTTGGTCTGAGTATGTATACCCATTGAGAGTGCATCTTCCATGGTTTTTTTGCCTCTTTGATCAACCTACATTCAAAAATCCACAAACACCCCCATTACAAAAATGATCCCTCTCTTAACATGAAAGACCAAAACGACAAAACAAAATCAAACCCAGAACTCCAAGAAGCAAATAGAATAAAAGATAGTGCAAAAGGTTAAAGCTTTTCCATCTGAGAAGTGAGAGTGAGTAGTTTGGTGTGTGTTGCATTTAACATAATTTCCAAAGTAAATAGTACAATAAAAACAAAAAAGAGGTTGACAATCACCTTGGATAATTTGGTATAAAAAATTAGTGAAAAAAAATCGCAACTACTGCAGTGATAACACTGAGAGGGAAAAAAAAAAAAAGAAGAGGAATATGAATACCTGTTCTGATTCTTCTCTTTCCCGTTTCTCTCCGCCATTCAGGGGGAGTGGAACCGGCGGGTCCATGACTGAGAATGAAAGAAAAGTAAGAATAGAACTGACAAGCTTTGAAATTTATATATCGCGGAAAATAAACATCAATAAAATAAAATATTATTTAATGTACTACAGCACAAAGGTGATTAGTGTAAGTCTGGTTCACGAGTCCCCACAATGTTTTGAAATACTAAATTTTAATTCTTTTTATATTTAAATTTATCATTTTTTTTATTTTATTATAATTTTTATGTACATATATATGTTATTATATAATTAAATATCATTTAATATTTAATAATATTTTTGTTAATATAATATCATTAAGAATTAAATTTATAATTTTTAAAAATTTAAGAATTAATTATTACATTTTAAAATTAAATATTGAAACCATTTTTCTAAAAATTAAATAAATATTAAAAGATTTTTTTTTAATTTCATATATTTTAATTTTATTTATATAAAAAATTATAAATTACAAAATATATTATTTTATAAATTTATAATTTGTATTGTATCCTATTATAAATATATAAATAACTTTGTAATAAAATATTATTTAAGTCTTATTATATATTTATAAATTTATTTTTTATTTAATAACTCTATATCCTATAATTTTTATTGTATCCTATAATAAATATTTAATAAATTTTTTTATGTTATTTAAAAATATTCAAGTATATTTCAGTTTTTTCATCTTTCTTTTTTGTATTTTAATGTCTTTAATTTTTTTAATTTTATCTTTTGAAAATGTAATGCATTAGATACCTATAAATTTATACCCATAAAATTAGTAGTTAATTTATATATTTCAAAAATGAAAATAATTTATTTTTTAAAAATCTAAACTCATTATTTTTATCCTAAATAATATTCATTCAAACAAAAATTTAAACACCTTTAATCAATATTATTTATTCATTGAATGCTAGGATAAAAAGTTAATGATTATTAATGAATTTTTAGGATAAAAAGTTAATAACTATTAATGAATATTATTTATATAATAGTTATTGAATGTTAGGAACAAAATAACGAATATTTATATTTAATAAATTATTGAATGTTATGATAAATTGTTAATTGTTATTATTGAATATTATTTATTTAATGAATTATTGTATGTTTGTATAAAAAGTTAATGATTAATAATGAATATTGTTTATTTAATAAATTATTGAATGTTAAGATAAAAATTAATGAATTATTGAATGTTAGGATAAAAATAACCAATATTATATATTTAATAAATTATTAAGTGTTAGGATAAATTGTTAATGATTATTAATGAATATTATTTATTTAATGAATTATTGAATATTAGGATAAAAACTTAATGACTAATAATGAATATTATTATTTATTACTAAATTATTAAATGTTAGGATAAAAATTAATTTATTATTTATTTAATGAATTATTGTATGTTAGGATAAAAAGTTATGATTATTAATAAATATTATTTATAAAGTAAATTATTGAATGTATGATAAAAAGTTAATGATTATTAATGAATTTGATTTATTTAATAAATCATTAAATGTTAAGACTATTGTGTTTGAAAATCCAATTGGATCAATGGGTTTAATCATTCTAACTAGAAATTGGATTAGAACCATTGTTTTTAAATAATTAAATTTTGGGATAAATCAACGCAATTTTGGGATAAATTGATTTTGATAAAAGAAAAAAAGTTTTAATTAATTTTTTATAATTTTGTTATAAAAAATGTAATATATTTTATTTTATTCTATTCTATTTTATAATTACATTAATTTGAAATTATAATTATTTTATTTTAATAGTCATTTTTTTAATATATTTTATATTTATAATATTTATTATAATTATAATAATCATGTTAATAATCTTTATTATTTTTTTATAAAAAATATTTTTGTTAATTAATTTATTATATTATAACATATTATTTTATTAAATTTGGTTTGATTTGAATTCTAAACTCATAAATTTAATAAATATTATTTATTTTATTCAATGGATAAAAAAGGATTATATATATATATATATATAAAGTGATTTAGGATGGTTGGTTTGGATTAACTAATCCATATAGTTAAACATGTTAATTTAAACAATTTTCCCATAAAAAATTCCTGAAAAGGAGAAATACGGAGAGAAAATAAAAATACCTTTTTATAAATTAAATTAATTTTATTAAATTAAAATTAAAATTTTAGAAAACGATATGATAATTTTTAATATTAGTTTTATGTATAAATTAATTTAAATATTTATTTATTTAAAATCCTTACGGAAAGCTCACATTATAAAAAATAATTATTATATATATATATATATATATATATATATATATATATATAAGGAGAAAAAAACCTTACAAGTTCACTAGTACTATTAGCATAATTAGATATAAATTCATATTTAATTTTAAAAATATCAATTTAATTATTCTCTAAAATAATATTTGTGCATCTTTGTTATAGTAAACTGATTTAATTTCAAATTTCTTTATTATATGATTAGGATTACCGTTTGGATGATATATTATTCTCTTGAATTCAGATTAATTGTATCATGATTTTTTTTTAATAAGATACGTTAGTTAATTTAAAAAATATGGTATATAGATGTTACTTTGACCATAGGCAGAACCAAAAACTCAAATTAAAGGAGTACAAAAATTATATATATTATTTTTTATTATCTTAAAATAACAAAATAGAAATCATAAATTATATATTAAAATTAATAATATTCAAAATTTTGAAGAATAATTATGAACTTGAAGAGTTTTTCGTAATACCACTTCTTAACTTTAGTTTGGACTTGTAAATAATAAAAAAATTTAGATTTATTTAAACATAATTATTTCATAAAATAATAATTTATTATATTAGCTAGTATTTTTTAATATGTGAAAAATTTTATAATATTAGGACCGTCTCTAGAAAAATGTTTAAATTGATTACATTTGAAACATTTTAAAGATTGTTGGTATATTTTATTATTTCTAGTAATAATATTTTTTATATAAAAAATATAAAAATAAAATATATTAAATATATATATATATATAATTATTAAAATAAAACAAAAATTATTTTAAGAAACACTTGTAAGTCTCACATCAATTAACTATTAACATAAAGAACATTCCCATAACTCTACCATCATTGTAACCCACCTTCAAGAACATTCATTATTAAAACAAAAGTCTAAATCTAGATGGAAAAGTTGCTACAACAGATTCATATATGGGTTTGTTGATTTTATCTTATAATTTTGTTAAACTACTTTTAATTTATTTTGTGTTTAAATTTCTTCTTTTTTCAATAAAGTTGTTTTGTTTTGTCTTCAAAACACAAATAAATCCTAAACCCTATTTATACATCAAAAGACCACTTTTGTTTTGTTTTTCCCTAAATTTCATCAAAAGAAAACATATAATTTATACATGAAATCTGGAATTGGTAGAGAGACTTTAGGGTTTCCACTTTTGAGTGTTTTTAAAGACCACTTTTTTTTTTTTCCCTTTCTCAACATTTTTAAATATACGCTAGAAAAAAAAGTTAATATAACATTTTTTTTTCAATAATACATAAAACTATCTATAATAATTCCATGTAAACCAATTTCAGTAATAATTTTTTAAAATGAACGATTTTTTAACATAAATAATAAGAAGAGATGAAAATTAAACTATCAATTTTACAATTAATCGTGGTCATTTTTTTTATCAAATGTAATAAATTCGTAAACTATGTTCTTGCAGCACCATAATCAATTATGTTAATTAATATAATCGATTATGGTGTAAGAGGAAATAATCATGGTTGCTGAAAAAATTTAAGATCATACACAATTATGATAGATGGTATGCAAATATGATATACTTTTAAGTATTTATAATTTACTAATTATGCTCACATAGTTGGATTTACAATTAGAAATAAATTATTCATTACCCAGAAAGTTAGGTTAAACAAAATTATAATGTTAGTAAAATAATAATAATAATAAGATAATTTTTCAAGAAAGATAAATATATGTTTTTGACAGAGAACGAGGGAGATTATGACTCATAAATAATTCGTTTCACTAATAAGATTGTCTTTTTTATGTTGTATTATTGTATTATAAAAAAATAAAATTAAATATGAGCATTTTTCTATTATTTAATTTTGATTAGTATTAAAATGCTTTATTTCAATTGAATAAATATTTTAAACTACTCTATTTTAATTTGTTACATTTTATAGAAATTAATATCAGTAAAATATAAGAAATATACAAAGAAGTAGTTAACATTAATTATGCTTCATTGATGAAACATCAAATTTCTTAATTATGAAGTTTTATATGATACGTAATATTAATCATTTGAATAATGATAATTTAAAATAATACTCCAACAACTCAAAAGTGTATATACGTAAGAAATTTGTTGCAAACAATTGAAGCTTTAGGAAACATGGAATATATCTCATAATTTTCTAAAAATAAACATTACACAGCAATACAAGAGGTGGAATCTTGTGGATTTTTGTGTGAGTGTGGCATGATTATTTACGTGAATTACATTTAAAAGAGGAAAAGAAAATGTTTGTGATTGAAGTTTTTGTTTTAGGATTAGCCATATTCTCATGAAAGTTTAATCATGAATGAGTATGAAGCTACACATTGCTTGTGAACAAAGCTTGAATGATGTGGTTTGTTATGGACGATGATAATATTCACAAGTCAATGGCGTATTGGCCATGCAATTATGGGTCATTGCGTTTCATGCATTTTTCCATGTTTCCAATTATACAAACCTTACATCATCACACCATCACATGAGTATTATATATATGAATATGTGGATGCATATTCTTCAATGTGCTAATAAAAGTTTATAATATTGAAAGCTTGGGTTAACTTAGATATGGCTTCTCTATTTTTCATTTTTCTTCTCCTTCTTCTTCCTCATCTGCATGTCCATGGAAGTTTGAACACAGAAACAAGCTTCCATCAAAACTATGAGGTTATTTGGGGTCATGATCATGTTGTGTTCTTAAACCAAGGGAAAGAAGTTCAGCTCACAATGGATAATTCTTCAGGTTAATACCATATCCTCTTTTTCTTTTTTTACAATATATATATATATATATATATATATATATATATATATAATTAAGGAAATGTTATACAATTAATTATTTTTATATAAAATTAAATTATGTCTTTCAATATCATTAAAATATAATTTAATATCAATATAAAATTTTGTGTTTGTAATCTAAATTAAAGATATTAAATGATGTAATATTGGATAAAAAAAATGTATGGGTGTAATAAGATGTTTAATTTATATTACCTCTTCTTCTCTCTGTCATCATAAGACACTTTGGATAATATCAGAATATAAAACGTAATTAATTTATCTAATTTTATTGATTGTTTAGTTATTTTTACCATTATTAAATAAATTAATAACAACACACGTACTAATTTCTTTAACAGAGAATATATATATATACTTATTAAAATTATAAATGTTTTATATTAAAGATTATTTTTAAATGTGTCTTATAGAATAAAAATAAGAAGGAATATTGCTTTTTTTTGCCTGATTTACAATTTTTCTTTATTCGCATTTCAATGAAAAAAAAAAAAAACTATTGGTGTTATATCTAAGGAAGCAAATAATAAAACAAGAATAAGAAAAGGTAGGTTTTCTTAACATTGACTCATCGATTTGAATGTTGATATAGTGGTGTATTAAGGTGAATTATTAATAAATCAAGAAATAGGAATATAGGTTTCATATGCAATTAGTATCCGAGTTCAATATTTGATGTGTATTGTTTTAATTTGTTTGTTGGACATGTAGTAGTGACAACTCCACTAAAATTAGGTTTAATTGAAGTATTACTAGATGGTTTTTTACAAGACATTACTTTCATTAGACAGATAAAACAAACAAGGGCACATAATGAACATTCTATGTACAGGATCTGGATTTGGATCAAAGATGGCATATGGGTCAGGACTGTTTCATATGAGGATCAAAGTACCAAACAGGAATTCTGCTGGAGTTGTCACAGCTTACTATGTCAGTTCTTTCATCTTTCGTCCCATTTAATGGATAATCTTATACATTGCTTCTTCATTCCATTACAATGATCAAGTTTGATATTACGTGTGCAGAAGGTCAAAAATGGGAATTAGTTTTTTCATAAGTTAACAATGATCATATTTTCATTAGTTTACAAGAAATTCATATTTTCTTTACTAATGATTATATATTTGTTTGAAATGTAAACTTATAAATTATGTGTAAAGTCCTTAATGTATTTGATGCCTCGCAGTTAACTTCAGAAGGAAGTAGGCATGACGAGTTAGACTTTGAATTCTTGGGAAATAGAGAAGGGAAGCCATACAGATTACAAACCAATGTCTTTGTAGAAGGGCAAGGGAATAGAGAGCAAAGACTTCGCCTTTGGTTTGACCCTACTGCAGATTTTCACAGCTACAGAATTCTTTGGAATCAACATCAAATTGTGTAAGATGCATAAACCAGTGTCTAGTTAGTTTTATCATTCCTTCAAATGGCTTAACTGTATTATGAAGCTAAATTTTCCTATTATTGTTCAACAAAATTGACTAGAGGTCATGGATTTGATGTTTCTAGTGGCAAAATCCTTGTTAACCAAGAAAATATAATTGCCAGATTTTATGTGGATAACGTCCCCATTAGGGCATACAAGAACAAAACTAATATTGGAGTGGGGTACCCATCAAAGCCAATGCAAATACAAGCAACTTTGTGGGATGCAGAAAGCTGGGCAACAAATGGAGGAAAAACCAAAACTGACTGGAGTTATGCACCATTCAAAGCAAATTTCCAAGGTTTTGATGTTAGTGGCTGTCAAGTTTTAACCCCAAATAGCAAAATTTGTTCTTCTGATAGGTACTGGTGGAATAAGCAGAACTTTTGGCAGTTGGATCCTGTAAGACAAACACAATATGAACGTACCAAACACAAGTATATGACCTATGATTATTGTACTGATAGGAACCGATACCCACAGATTCCCTTGGAGTGCCTTGAATCATCCAATTAATTAATTAATTCATGTATATGCTTCAAACAATAAACATTTAAGGCTACTGTTGATGGAATTGAATTGGCACATCTTTTGCAGAGGAGGTGGAAAAAAAGACAAATTATTTACTGCTGAGTAGCAACCATTGTTCTTGTTTACCAAAAATTGCTATAGGAACAATCATATTTCTGTTGACAACTTTTATGTTGTGTAATGTTTGATAAATCTAAATTTGTCTTGGACGACCCTTTCTTTATATTGGTATGGCCATATTCCATGTATCTAGGCTATGTATTGTGAAAAAAAGCAGAGTTGCATGTAAATGGATCATTACATAGTTTAATAATGAATGAACTTTATTTTAAGCATATGAATTATTTCACTTTATGGATAATCTCTTAAACCAGATGAACATGATTGTTTAGTCCCAACTAGCATAAGCATCTCAACAATAGTGGGTTCTGCATGATTAATATTTTAGCATTAACAACAGTACTAATTCATAGAAATGTGAAACAGGATCTAAGTTTCTAGCACTATCCTGCTAAACTCTTGCATTTGATCCTCAGGTAAATCCAGGCATATGTTAATGCCCCCTTGACCTTGTGGCCCTGGCAATAGCATGACCAAACCAGGCTTAACCTGTAGTGGGGTGGCACACTTTAGTCTACCCCATGCAAAAAGTTGCTCCTCTAACCCCAATCTCCACCATGCCACTAAGGAGAAACTATCTTCCATACAAGGTGCCCCTTTGTTCACCTCTAACCAATCTATCCCTGACTTAATGTACTCATCATCCAATCTTTCAAGCCCTTCTTGCACTTTGCTTATGTGACAAGCATCTTCTAGCTCCTTCAGCTCCCTCACAGTTGCTCTTGCAAAACCAGGCACCAATGCGTTTCCTGCAAAGCCATCTGGGAGTTCAGGAACAACCCTTTTCCTCACATCCACTGGAAATAGAATTGTGGACACATTTTCCTCTGACATCCTTGTTGCAATGCTTCTTGCCTTCCATATTTTTGCAGCAACAACCTGAAAAGTGGTGATGTTCTTTAAGGTGTCGTCCTCCAGGGCTTTCTTTTTGAAGCTAGCAATGCTTTGTGGCGACAAATAAAGCACATGAATCTGGCTTTCTGGAACGGATTGTGTGACATTGGTACTACTTTTGCCTCGGAGAGTGAACAAGTTGTTGTGTGTGTCAGCAGATTTTGAATACTCAAAATGTGGATGGCTTACATTTGGAGGGCTTCGAGCTCTCAGCAGTGTTCTATCTGCATTAGGTACTATGATGAGGTCCTCACCACGTGTTAATGCACCTAAGTTCACCTCAAAATCTCTTATTGCAAAACCGTCCAGTGTGCAGTGGTTGTAGTGAGAAGCAAGTGCCAAACTTCCACAACCAAACTGAGTCAGCTGTCATAAACAACAGACTTAGAGTACTCTTGCATCCTTTAACAAGACATAAAAGTCTAGGTTATGTGGATTTAAACTGAAGGATATTAGCTCTATCATTAATGTTTGAAATAGCTTATTTATAATTTACTTAGATCTATATTTGTGACATAGATGCTTATGCAGTTATTTGGAAGAGTTTATAAACAAAAACAGCTTATAATACGTTCATAAGTTATTTGGAACTTACAATAAGTTCTCTTTATGGAAATATTTCATAACTTATATGAGAACAGTTTAAACATATTCCTTCTTCAGTTAAGATAATTTATACTATAATATTTCAGACTATAAGTTGTTTATCCAAAATGATGCTACATACTTTGGTATTTAAGAATAAAAAAATGGAGAAATGAAAAGATTGAATGGATATACAAGAAGGTCATATAAGTGGATCAAGACAATTTGAAAGATCTGTTACATTGACATGCAAGTTGTAGCAACACACAGAATGATTTAAATCAAATTGCTTAAACAAGTTTGTATAGCCTTAGTATGTGTTGTTTCATTTTGATATGCTTAAATTTGTTCTATTTGAGTGCCTATTAAATTTTTCTTTATGATTTTAGTCCACACTCAACTCATTAATCTCATTGATTTCGTCCCTGTAAGATTTTAAACTTCTGGATCTCTATCTACTACATCATCACTTAAAATGAATATTCACGTTAGAGACTAAATGAATGGAAATTAAGAGGGATACAAACAGATACAAGTTTAAAAACTCCGAATCTTGAAAACATGAGTTTGAAATAACTAAAAGGAGCATTAACCTGTAAGGATGCAAGGGGTTTTTCTTTCAGGCCAGTGTCTTGATCACACCCTTCATGCAAGAAAACAACTAATTCCCTCAACTCTGGATTAGGTGCAGAAATCACACCAAATTCACTCAATTTTCTGTCAGTTCTTGCAGCTGCAACCACAATGCCAGCACCATTACAGTCAATTTCAAATCTCTGAGCCTCTTCCAAACTTGGCACTAGTCTGCCAGCCATAAAGTCATATTGCACAAGCATTTTACTGAGTGCAGTGTATAATCTGTTACAAATCTCACTGAAACTCATTTGGGTGCTTGGAGGGTCAAAAAAGGAGGCAGAGTCTTGGTAAACAACAAGGGACAGGTCAATATTTGACAGAAACATTCTCTTGTGGGGTGTAGGTTGCTCAGGAACAATTACAACTTTCTCTACTAGTTCAATCTTACCCATTGCACACAATATCACTAATCAATGTCAAACTTCGTGTAATATTCAACAACAATCAAGAATTTTAGCCTCTTATATTAAGCTTGCTCCTTGGTTAGTACATTAGAATTTGGAAATATATATAAGCTGATTTCGACAATGTCAAGAGAAGCCAGTTTCTTAACATTAATTACTTTTAACTTACTCGTATTCCTCGATGTTGCTAACGTACTTGGAGTTATGTGATATGATAATACCTTTTTACACTGTGTTTTGATTATTTGTTCATGCATTTATTATGTGTAACTCTCAGCTCATTTCTGCACATATTTAGTAACATTTATTTACCAACATGTGATAAGATGTAACTATTGACGGTGTATTATACGTACTTCGGTAACATTTTTAGCTAGCGCATGTTACTATTTTCTTAAATTACATATTCTTTTTAACATTTGAAACCATAAATGAAAGTTTTATCTGATACTTCCCTTCTTCTCCATGTCTGGTTAAATCATATTTTATTCTCCAGAGTATATCTCATATTCACGATTTCTTTCTACTCTTGCTTGAATTCAAAATTTCACTTTCGACTCTCTCGTGAAGTCTCAAAATCCTAAATGTTCTTCAAATCCTATTGGGAGTGGTTTTTCCCCTTGTCTTTGAATTAATACATGATGGAGTTTTAAGTTATAGTGTCGAAATAATAAAATAGAGTAACATACAAATACAAATAGTGAAGTTAAAGATGATATAATGTTCTTTTATTGTCTTTGTTCCATTTTTCAATATCTTTCCCATTTTATTATTTATTTTGATTTGCTATTATTTTTCTTGATAATATATTTATTATCCATTTTTCAATATCTTTCCCATTTATATGCATCTCCTTCAAAAAAGGGTTCAAGCACAAGGAGAAACATGATAAAACATTCAATATATACTTATCCTAAGACTATTAAAAAGTGATTGTTAAAAAATAAGCATGTTTAGTAATTGATTAGAATTTCGATTCATATAATCTGTTAAGAAATATATGCTTAATTCAAATGTTTTATTACGTATCGTATCCTTTCATTTTTCATTTGCATCATTTTGCCTGTTACATGGCAGGCAGAAATGTTGCTCTTTAAGAAAGCCAGAAAAAGGTAAAAGGACATGACAAAGAATGAGTGAGACAAGTAGGGTGAAGTTAAGGAAGGGAGGAGAAAATTGAAAAGAAGAAATTCCAAGCGAAAATGAACATATTAATAAGAGCTAAACACTCACTTTGTTTTACCAAGCATCCACCAAGATTCAGTTAATTTTTATGCTTTCCTCTTTTAAACATCAATATCTTTTTCAGGCCACTTTCAGCAACGCATGGGAGGAAACGGCATTGAAAATGGTAATAAAATCACCAAAAGGTTTTCTAAAAAGTTACAGGCAAGCTTGACCAAGTCCAAAGTATAAACATAATTATAAGCCTTCTAATGTGCCATAAGTTATAACAAGGGTAAGCTGGAGCACGACAGGGTCAGGGAATTTCCTGTGGTTGAGTGGTGAAATGAGTAGAGATAGGGAAGAAAAACTCCGCTGGGGTAGAAATACAAGACCAAAATGTCAGTCTTTTGACTCTAAGGCTAAAAGTATCTTCTTTCTTGGTCCCTGAATTCAACAAAGCAAAACACGGAAGATGTTAATAATTACTATATCAAATCTAGAGCAGGCTTGACTTGACATAAATAAGAATTTAGAAATTAGTGGGAGTGAGGAATCCACTCTCCTTGTTGATACGTACCATTGGAATACCCATGGCCTTGAGATCTTCATCAGTCATATGATTGAGTGCAGTCATATCAACCTGAAGAAATAGCTTTTAGTCATAAGTATTCACTCTTTAATGTGCAATTAAAATTCAGTTATAATATTGAATTTTAGTCTAACTCTACTTAGATATTTAGATTGCTTTATTTTTTAATAAACCATTTTTTTGCAACTTTCTGAAAGAAAAAGTCAAAATTACTATGTCTCTAAAAAGTAAGACGAAAGAACATGAATGTCGAGGGATATTTAACAAGATATATGACATACTTCTTCAGCCTGAAAACTAATGAGATACTTTTCGAGACCCAGTGACAGCAAAAATTCATCCAAGGAAGCGTCAGCCTGTCATGCAAGAACCAGGTTTATACTGAATCAGTTTTTCCTCAAGTAAAGAAATACATTGCCTAGGAAGGAAATTTGTGAGGAAAAAACAACAGTTCATTAGACAGTTCATTGGACGTATGAAAAAAAAATGTGGCACAGTTTCATCCATTTAAGGAGAAAGTAATATAATAAAAATAGAGATAAAAAAGAAGAGTAGAACAAAATTAAAGGATCAATAAAGAACTTATATCCACGAGTCTTACAATCCTGGTTTCTCCATTGCTTTTATCTCATTAATCAATCAGTTTGTTTGGATCACAAACAAAATGCGTCATCCGTTTTGACTCTCAGTATCAAATACTCAGTATCATAATAGCACAAGTTATTCGAATTATTTAAAGCCTGCCAGCAGTATCACAGCCCAGCAGATTTGCAGTTCATTATGTAAATGACTATTTGAACCATGGAGAGGAAGTTGAGATAGTCAGAAATTAGTAAGTTAGTTGGAGTGAGTTGATGACATAGTTAAATAGGAGGACACAAGGTAGGGGAATTTATTCTGTCTGGAATCATTGGTAAAATTGAGATTTGCTCTGAGAAAGGAGAAATTTCTCTCTTTTGTTCTGTTTATTTTTCAATCTATCAATAACATTTTTGTTTTCTTTTCCCCAAAAAAAATAGTTAACCTGACTTATGTTTCCAATGGTGGGCCAATCGACTTCTAGGGATCTAATCCTATAAGACCGAGGGTAACACATTGTAAGAGCGATTTTATGGTGTACATTGTATACACGGTGAAGACTCCAACTAACAAGATTTCTACAATGACCAATGACATGAAAAGAGGACTCCCTTTGTCTAACTACATATCTACCTGGGAGAAACAAGATGGATGAACAGCTTTCCATGCACCACCTTAGAAGAATATCAAGTGAGAGGTCCTTTATGAGAGAAAAACATCTGTATGAATTATGATACATAGTTAACTATCTTAATTCAATCATCATCTATAGGATGTCTTATCAGGTATTTCATTATAGTAAATTATACCCTATCATGACATTGATCGATCTGATTGCCAACACCCTACATTTCAAAGGTATATTTAAGTCAACAAAATTTCTTGATCCACTACTCTATTTAGGGCAACCATCGGTATTAAATATATTGACTTATGGTTATCAAACTCGCGAGTTAATGACTCAGATGAGTTAGCAAGCCTAGTGATTGATCACGAATTAACTCATAAGTAAAATTGTTTTAGAATAAATTCGATGAACTCTAAGCAAACTCGCAAGTGAGAGGACGAGTCATCGAGTTCGAAGGAAAGGAGACACTTATAAGTTACATCTCTTCTCACTACTCGCACTCCTCATCCCTTCTCACTGCTCATCATTGCGCTTTGTTGGTCATCGTCGCTGCAGCACTCTGTTGGTCATCGTCGCTGCTCATGTTGGTCACTAGTTGCGGGTTGTCCATCGTTGAAGTCGCCACTGGTCACACTGCTCATCGCTGCTTCTCTGGTTGATCGATGGTTGTTCGCTTGTCGACTTCTACACAGACTTGGATTGAGATTTGGAATTTTAGGTTTTTCTTCTCATAGATTAGGGATTTTAGGGTTTTTGTTTTTAATTAATTTTTTTAGTTTGGTTATTCTACTACACAAGAGTTGAATTTTTATTTTTATTTTTGTTATTTTAGATATAAAGATTGAAATTTGGAAATATTTGAGACTGATTCAAATTCTTCTTAAGGCATATAAACTTGATAATATTTATGTTTTTTAGTTATTTCATTCTTATTTTATCACTTTAAAAACTTATATTTGATCAATTTATTATTATATGAACTTATTAATTTAGTAACATGGAATTAATATTATCATGTTTATACTTTTTATTAAAGTGGTATTTTTTATATGAAATAGTCTCGTAAGAGTCTACGAGTCGCGTTTACAAACCTCTCACGAGTCTACGTAAACTCTCAAGTATGATAACCTTACATTGACTAACACTTCAATATTTTACATTTCTGAATTGAGACTAAACTGGTAGAGCCATAGACACACATAACCATCACGGGGTCACAACCTCCAACAAACAGTTTAAAAGTTGGCCTTTAGATGGTAAAGTGCACATCATTTTGCATTTCATAACCAAAGAGCTCTTGCAAAAGAAGGTACGTTAGATGTAAAACCATTCATAGGCATGCCTAACAAGTTAAGATTCCAAAGTAGTTAGTCTTTGACAAATTGCTATCAAATATTTAATTATATTTAACAACTTTTGTCCTGTACATCCTATCTTAAGATTTGAATTTCTAATGCTTCTTCACAAATCCGTCCTATTAAGAATTTAAGTTAACTGCATGTACCACAAAATAAAAGTTAATTACTACTTGCTTCTTAGTTATCAATATAACAAAAACTTTCAACATTGCATAAAATTATTGATACAATTATTGCCCTCCCATCCCATCTTTACAGCTTGACTATTATCGTAAGCATAAGACCATGGCATATTTTGCAAAAAATCAGTATAAAATAATAGTATTACTAACATCATATAATCCAAGACGAAATTTTTTTCTCTACTGACTAACTTCAAGTGTGGTGCAACTATTCTATTTCTAAAAAGGTGAAATCAGCCCAACTTATAGGATCCATGCAGAGAATTCCATATCCATTTTCACCGCGGTATACTGGACAAAGCAAGAGCAGCTAACACAATGTCAGTCTAGTGAAATTACAAGAACAACTCTTATGACCACAAATACAGTCCTTGGTCCTTACTCTAATAAAACACCTCAAAGATTCAGGTCAGTTCACTAATATATAGAAACAATGAATCTGATATATCATAGTGGTAAAATAATTAAAATTACTATTGCAGTCACCATCACTGTTTTTTTTTTTTTTTTTAAAAGCTTCCCTAGTTTAATAGCCAGTGAAATGCTGAATGTAGAGGAAAAGGGGCAACAGAACAACAAACACTACAATCGACATCCCTGCTAGACCATTCTAGAAAATCTTGTTCAAAAAATAAACAAAGAATATGTCAACAATATACCTTTCGGGACACCTTTTTAGGAATTGGATTCGCTGATCTTTTGATATGTATTGCAGGAGTCTCAACATCAATACTTTTACTGCTAGGTTTAGCAACAACTTTAGGCTTTGGTGGGTCATAGTTTTTTGGTTGTGGATTCATTGTCCCTGATAGCCTTTCACGGAGATCCCTCTCACCAGGAACAGAACTCTTTCCAGTTTGACCTCCAGGATGAAGACCTTTCTTTTGAAGCTTCAAACGAAGATCTTGAGCAGTGACCTTGCGATCTTCATAAGTCATTAACACACAGTCAAAACCCATAAAATCAACTATCGGCATCCAACAAGAGCAGCAACTTATACTTCAATATGAGAATAACATAATCAATCCATACTATAGAGCCGGGGTTCATCAGCATATAGATCATGTTTCCACTTGTCATCTTGCCTCTGCCTGCAAAAGGCGTGATTTGGAATACATCACTAAGTCTGTAGTTTAAATCAGCATTTAAGCTTGCAACTTAGAAGGTCTACAGTGCTAAAAAATCGAGTAGAACATAATAAATACAAATAAAACAGAAATCACCCATCCAATGAAAGAGCATTGCTCCTAAAATGTTTCTTTCATGACCAAGGTTGCCTGGTGTATTTTGGGGCTAAGCAGGGCTCAGCACCATTGTCCATGAAATCTAACAATTCGATGAGTAAGATTGCATTTACGAAAGTCACACTCATTGTGGAGCGCCAGTAAAGAAAAACCTAAGAATTACACCCCCTCCCCTTGCCTCCAACCAGCATACTAAACAAAAAGGGCACAAAATATCTACACAGGACATTTCACATTCAAAGTTTACAATCACATGACACAACTGCAACACACTGAACGAACAATTTCAAACAAATCTCCTCACACTGGTTATAATCAAAGGCTCCAAGCCACTCAGACAATGGGAATCCAGTAATCCTCTGACTGAACAATTGAAATCAATCCTCAATACCAGTCACGACTTCATCATCACACAGACAAAGCAATCCACCAGACACCATCACTAACAAAACACATGAGCCCTTGTCACCCCAATATCTTGTCATCCCTCACCATCTAAAAGTCATGAATGCAACTCAACACAACCAAATCCACCAATATTAAGCATACCCACAACGGACAAATTCATATGTCCTTTTTTTCACAGTGAACAGTTCACATGCAGTAATAATAATGAGAAGAATAATAACACAAAAACCTCTTTCCGGTGACTTTCTGTTGGCGAGTAGAATCAGTGAGGAAGTTCCTATCAAGACGTTCCTTCACTGATCTCCGAGGTCCACTCTCCACCCGATCAGCATACATCTTTTCCGTTGGTTCCAAATGAAATCAAACCCTAAACACGATACTTGTTGAAGGAGCACGAACCCAATCGAGAAACGGATGCAGAGAATCAAACCCTATAAATTTGATGGAAAGAAGATTAAGTGAACACGGTCTCTGGGAGATTGCGAATTTCACCCCAAAATGAAAAACAAAAAAGATAGAAAATTTGGCTTTGTTTGGGAAGTGTGAGAGTGTATCAAGTCAGAGCGGTAGCAGGGAGAAGAAAAGAGTGAGTGATAGGTGTTCGCCTCTGAAACCAATAAGGTCGCGTTTGGCTTGGATGCTTTTATATCCAATGATGAATTTAGGTAATGTTAAACAATAAATTATTCATTCTCAATTAACTTATTTGTTCTGAAAATAAAATTATTAAAATTATATATTATGATAGAATAACTCGTTAACTACATAATAAAGATAATTGAATTGTTAAAATTTATGTTTAAGTGGTTAATTTATTGTACACAAATTTCCTTATATTTAAATCTAAGGATAAATAATTTGTGTAGTAGGACTTGTGATTATTCATGTTTTATTTGATAAAACGAAGTTATATCAAATACACTAAAAAATGCATTCCTCACATTGTTTAGATTAATTTATTTATTTTTATACTTGTGGAAGATGAAGTAGCTATGCACAGTTTAAATGATCATAATATAATTATAATTAAACACCTTTTTAATGTCAAATGGTTTGATAGTAAAAAAAAAAAAAGGTTTAAGTGTGAAATAATAATAATAACTCAATATGGTTTTCATTATGAATAACATTGAATGATTTTTATTAATTTTATAAGATTAAGTTAAATATTTATTTTTATTTTGATAATATCATATTAAAACTAATTATAAAATGTAAATTTCCTTGTAGACGATAAGGTGAAAAAAATTACTGAAACAATTATAATTGGAATCCATCTTCTATACTCAAGATATAATGATAATTATTTTAAAATAAAACTTAACAGTATTTTTACTATATATCTAATGAGATATGGGTTATCACTTAATATTATTTTATAGAATATCAAATATTATATAAATATATTTTTATTATTAAAAAAACTCACTTCAACTCATCCCTTATAAGATATATTATATTTATTTAATTTAGTGTGAAGCGTGATTATTAATTTAATCTTGTTTAATTTTTATTGAAATCGATGTCATTTATTATTACAAAGAGATTGACGTATAAATTTAAAATTTTATTAGGCAATCAAAATGTACAGTGCAGTCTAATTTTATATGTGTTAGAAAACAATTAAAAAATATAATGATTAAATTGATTTATATTTTAAAATAAATTATAATTTTTGTTTAGTCTTAAATTAAGTAAATGAGTTAATAAGTTAAATTTTGCCTAATTAAAAATTTAAAAAATATTTTAATAATTTAATATATAAATTATAAGATAATAAATTTATTTAAAATCATATATATTTTTTAATAAAATAATATATTTTTATTTTAAAAATAATTATTATTTTATAAAACTTTGTCGTAAATCTACAAATTAACATTATCTAACCCATAATATTTTTTTCTGACTTATTTATTGAATCAACTAAAATATTACATTTTCATGTTAAAAATACTTTATCACCACGTGATCCCTGTCCAGAATTGTGTGATATAAATTGCATGATAGAGTTTTAAAGAATGTTTTGGTAAGAATTTTATATGAATACTTCGACAAAATCTTATATAAATTTTTTATTTGTGTGTTAAAAAGAATAAGACATTTACACTAAAAGAAATGGTTTTTAGTGACAATTTATTTATAAAATTAAAATATATTATTACAGAATTTAAAATTTAAATAAATTTAATAAAATAATATTTTTAGAATAATAATATAATTAGTGTATACTAAATTTATCAATGATAATAATTTATATAAAAAATTAATTACAACAGAAATAAAAACTGTTATTATGATTTTTATAAATTTCAAAGAAGATTACATTTAAAGTAACAAAAATATATTTAAGAGTAAGATGAGAATATCATAAAATAAAAACAAAGTATTGTATTTTTTATAATTTTTTAAAATTATTATTAAATTAAAAAAAATATTTGTTAATTTTTTTATTAAGGTTGATTCATTTCTTTTTTTTAAGCCAATTTTATATCAATTTAACTAAAATATGACTTTTTAGAAATAATTAACTGTCTTCTAAACTAGTTTTAGATTGAACAATGGTAGATAAATCATTAATCAATTTTCAATGAGCCTTTATATAAACTATTTTTTTATTTCATTATTGTTTTCGTTTTTGTTAATCATACAAAACAATTTTTCCAATATTTTGTAGGATTTTTGTTTTAGGAACTCAATTCATTTTTTACTATTGTATAATTTTTTTAGTTAGTTTATTTGTCATTCTCTCATTTTATATAACACAGATACAACTAAATTAATAGAGTTGAAAATAAAATAAAATAAAATATTTTTTCACATACACACTACTACAATTTCCTATTCAAATAATGCACACTATTACAAAATTATAAATTTTTCATAAAAAATAAGCAGTAAAAACATTTCTGCAAACTACAACGTACAACGAAAATAACAGTTAATGGTTCAATTATGCTTTAATCTTTGGGCTAAAATCTTATTTTAGCCATTCATTAAAAAAATCATTTTATTCTCTCAAATAGTAAAATATGATTTTCATCTTTTAAAGATTAAATTTGAAGATTTTAATCCTTTCATTTTAATATTCAAATATTAAAAACATAATTTTCAATTTATAAAAACTAAAATTAAATTTATTAAATTTAAATCACAAACATCCTAAGTTTAAAGAATAAAAATATAATTAAATTTAAATTAAAAATTATATTATAAAATAAAAAATAATATATTTAACAAAATTATAATTAAAAAATAAAAAAAATATTTTTCATATCATTGAAAGGAGTTGCGCGAACGCAAACCCCAATAACACAAATTATGACGTAGATTCTCTTCCTAATGGAAGAGACTTAGATAAACACCCTTCACAAGTGCAATGAAGTTCATTAATCTAGGTAATGAATCTTATTGATCATCCATTGACCCCGATCCAGGTAAGTAAGTTTCATCATATTAAATAAATTTAATTTATAAATACTCTTCCATAAACAACTTGCATACACACAAGATGTGGGATTCAGTCTATTACAAATTTACAATTTTTTTTTTCATTATATACATATCCACGTCATTTCATGGTTTTATTTGTTAACCAAACATGTAATTATATAGATACAATGAAATTATTATAAGTGAAAATAAATAAAAAATGAAATATTTCTTAATAGGTGCAATACCATATTTCAAACCTAACAATGAATAAAACTACTCATTATCAAATTATATTTTTTTCTACCTAAAAAATTCAAATAATAATAAAAAAATTGTGTAAACACAAATAATAGATTAAATGTTCAATCACTTTTTAGTTATTGAAATTTGGATAAATCATTTTTAGTCAAAGTTCATTTTAGTCTTTTAAATTTAGTAAAATGTGATTTTTATTTGTAAATATAAAATTTGAAGGAGTAAAAATATTATTATAAACCCTTAGAACATCTCTAATGGTGGGTTCTTATAAGAACTCATCTTGGGTTCTTAAGTGGGACCTATAGTGACACATCATATTTAAGCAATTTTCTTCAAATTTTTATAAATTCACTACGTTCTTATAAGCAACTCACCATTCAACAACACTTTTGACTTTAATGGGACCCACGATGAGCATTTCTCTCCGATTTGTTGCATTCTCTAATTTGTTGAATTTTGTTGGTGAAAACCACGAGAACAAACTAAAAAAATTGGGAAAAACAACTCTTATAAATGTTGCTTCTACAATATGCGAAACTTAACTTTTTAAATTTGTTGTGGGCACGTCGTATTGTTTTAACGGGAGTTTCTTATAAGCAATCGGGTCATAAACAACTCCCATTGGAGTTGCTCTTCAAATAATATGTTTTAAAAATTATTATAAAAAAACATGTCATTTTTTATGTTTAATTAGTAATATCATATCATCAATTAAACAATAATAATCGCATTTCTTATATTTATAGGCATTTCGATGCGTTTAAATCATCATGTTAATTTTAGATTTTTATCATATAATTTTTTTTTTGCAAAATATCAAATTTTGTTGTTATGACTTGTGAAAACAATGATTTAGAGTTTAATGAAGTTTAAGTAAAGTCTTATTTTATGTAAAAATGGAAAAAAATTAATAAAATATATAAGTGAAAAAGACTTACACAATTATTATCTTTTAAATTAAAAGTGATATATATAATATATTTTTTAGTCTATTGATAAATTTATATGTACGTTATTTTGGCCAAATCTAACATATAATTTGCCAAAATCATAAAAATGTTAATCTCCCAACCAACATATGACAAAAGAAATATTAATTACTTATTTTTAATTTTTAATTATTTACTACCTATGTTGAATTATAGTATAAGTGCTAACAAACCATTCATGAGAAACAAGATATACAAAATTCCAATTTTTTGAAAACACACTCTATAAAAAAAAGTTCTTTATTATTCTATAATTTTTTTCCTATTTCGTAATTATATATATACTTTTAAGTTGCAAGATAGAATTAGAAAAAACATATGTCATGATTGAATTACTCTCACCTAGGTAAAACAAGGTCTCGAAAACAACAAGAGACCAAGTTTTCTAATTATAAGATATAAAAATAAATTATGCACTCATGTATATATGGGTGGAATTAAACAGTCGTTAAATCTTTAAATGACTAGCTATGACATTTATATGTATGTTGTTAATGATAAACTAGCATTAGTTAAAAGTGAAAATTAAGTAAAGAATGAAGAGACACAATCATTATTCATATTTTAGAATCTTAGGTTGAAGTATGATAAGAGTTTGTAATTGTAGAATAGTCTTGTTCCATCACATATTATGGTATATTTATTGTGTGGTTG